TAGGGTTTGGCGTCTAGGGTTTGGCGTCTCAGAGATTCAGCTAAAGGAATGGGGCCCCTTGTTTTTTGTGCACCCTACCACTTTTTTTTGCTGAAGTCGTCCAGGAAGTCCGATGCACAAACCTCGTGTTTGTGACCTCCTGACCTCGAAATTGCCACCCTTTCTTCCCGATCCCGCTCTTTCACCCCCCCAAGCATCGCTTAACGGATCCGGGGCACTCCTTGTACACTACTCTGAGGCTACACGGAGGCCCAAACTTGTTTGTGAGCTTTCGCAGCCGGGGACATTGCCGCTTGCAACAAAAGCCGGTTTGGTTTGGGGTTTAGGCTGTAAAGACTCCCCTCTAAAACCGCAAACCTCAAGCCTTGAATCGGAAACCTGAACCCGAAACCCTAACCCTGAACCTTAAACAAAGACTATAGAGCGCTATATACCCTAAGCCCCTAAATCCTAAACCCTTAAACCCTAAACCCTAAACCCTAAACCCTAAGCCCTAAGCCCCTAAACCTAAAACATATCAGATCAACGACGCCGGCGGGCAAAGCTTGGGTTTGGCTCTGGCAGCTTCGCCGGGACCCAGGCTTGCGTGCCTTGGCGCTCAGTTTAGGATTTAGGGTTTAGGGTTTAGGGTTTTAGTTTGATGTGGACGCGGTTAGTCTTGGGGTTCAGGGCTCAAGGGGGTTGGGGTTAGGATGTAGGGGTTTTCAGGGTTTAGGGGTTGAGGCTCTAGAGGTTTAGGGGTTTCGGGGTTTAGGGTTTGAAGATGCTTTGTCCGAGATTTGAGATTCTTCGATAGCTTTGTGTCCGAAGGTGTCCCCGAGGGCTTAGGCTGTCATGACCTGGAGTGGCAATCGCATCGGGGTGCCCATAGTTCCCACAGTTTATGGTTGTCAAGGTAATGCGGGATTGATATCATCAACAGTACGTGCAATTCCTGCAGAATGCTTGCAGCTCTCTCTCGGAAAAGCCCTGTCCGAACTTCCTGGGCCCACCCGGGGCCGTAAACAGAAAACACGATAAACCCGAAGCCTTACAGCAAGCCTTAAGCCCTAAACTCTATACCCTAAACTAAAACCCTAAACCCTAAACCTAAACCCTGAACCCTAAAACACCAACCCCCAGACTAGACACGCCCTGTCAAGAATAACGCCTCGAGGTTCTTGGGCTTGAAAAGCAACCACATTGGCGGAGACCTCGGGCGAAGAGTTGAAAGGTTTGGGGTTTAGGGTTTTATGGGCTCCAGGCAGTTCAGCTTAGGGTTGAAGTTTTCAGGGTTTCAAGGTGAGGGTTTGGGGGTTTTCGGGCACAGGGTTTTCTCGTTCAGGCTTGGGTTTCTGAAGGTGTTTCTGGGTGGGTTAGTTCTGTTATAAATGTGCTGTTAGTAAGCTCTTTCCGGGATTCTCAAAGGTGCGTGACAGGGGTCATTCTTATGATGAGGACCGTGGTTGCAGGCCTTCATTGATGGTGCTTTTACCTTGCGCCTTAGATTTCTGGAAATCTCCCAAGCCCTAAACCCTAAACCCTAAACCCCTAAACCCTAAACCCCTAAACCCCTAAACCCCTAAACCCTAAACCCCCAAACCCTAAACCCTAAACCCTTGGATGGTTATACGCTCCAGGGTTTGTCCGAAATCAGGGGCGCAGGCCAACATTTTACGACATGCGGTACGGCGTATCTAGTTAGGGAAAGGGTTGCATACTATAGGGGCCTAAATAATTATACTATTGTTGTTTTTTGCGGGGGGGGGGGTCCTCATTATAAGTACAGAATGATGGGCCCCAAAACCTTATTCTGATTATTAAAGGCCCCCATACTAGTGATGGTGTTCAGTGATAAGGTGATAATGATGACGATCATGGGACTATGGTTTTCGTTGATGCATGATGATGAGTGGGATCACAGGATGCGGATGATCACGAGTGACGCCGCCGTTGCTGCTGCTGCTGCCGCTGTTGCGGCTGCTGGCTCTGATATGGATGCTGACGACGATAACGGCGCCGCTGAGATCATGATGGGGATAGTGATCCTGGTGATGGTGATGCCGGTGAGGACGCTGATGACGACGGCGATGACGACCACGAGGATGCGAACCCTGCGCATGATGATCACAACAAACTCCGAAGCTGTTCAAGAAACCAAGCAAATGTGAATTTCCCCTTCGCACCAAGGTGACGCAGGACGGGTGGTGGGGTGTTTGGGCGATCAATATAGAAGCCTAAATAACTACTTTTACTGTTTTGCGGGCTCTTTACGAAAATTTTCGTACAATGGACCCCAAAACCTATTTCTACAATTATTAAGGCCCATTAAGGCCCCTAAAATTAGTTCAGAGTTCAGAGTTGCTCTGCCTTTCTTCGATGTCCGCGTGCCGGATCACTTGGCGGTCTGCCAGGGAAGGGTTAGTTCGCACCCAAAAGCTCGAACAACTTTAATATAGGGGCCTTACTAGTTACCTATGCTATTTTTGGGATTCCTTATTATATGTATGGTATAATATACACCAAAACTTTCTTGTAATTATTAAGGCCCCTAACACAAAGCCCTATCCTAGATCCCTTATAGAACCCTTAGGGGATCCCCTTTAAAGGAACCCTCGTCTACTTCTTAAGGACCCTTTTAAGCCCAAAAAGTCCGAGATCTATCCTAGATCCCTTATAGAACCCAGCAGACCTTCTCCGAAGGAGCCGAAGGCCTGGCCATGGCGCTGGAGAAGAGCGCCTGGCTGGAGGTCTTTGGGCCTAAACCCTACCTTAAGAACCCAAAACCCACTTTTTTGTAGGTTCTTATCATAAACCCTAATATGGGATTTATAGGGACCCTACAAAAAAGGAGGTTTAGGGTTCTTAAGGTAAACCCAAAAAGCTAAACCCTAAACCCTGAAACCTTAAAAGCTAAACCCTAAACCCTAACTTCCTAAACCCCAAACCCTAAATAACCCTAAAAGCTAAACCCTAAACCCTAACTTCCTAAACCCGAAACCCTAAATAACCCTAAAAGCTAAACCTTAAACCCTAACTTCCTTTCCCCTCCCTAAACCCGAAACCCCAAAACCCTAAACCCTGAAATTTAACCCCCAGCCCCTAAACCCTAAACCCTGAACCCTAAACCCTTAACCTCTAAACCCTAAGCCCAGTGGGGAGTTCTTGAAGTTTGCAGCGGACGTTCAGCTTGAGGAGGGGAGCCTTTTCGGGCTGTGGCCCGGAGTCGAAAAGAAGGCCAAATCCAGCAAAGAGCCCAACCCTGGGGTTTGGGGTTTAGGGTTTAGGGTTTAGGGTTTGGGGTTTAGGGTTTGGGGTTTAGGGCTTAGGGACTGTAGGGTTTCGGGTTTAGGGTTTTAGGGTTTAGGTGAAAGCTGCAAGAACCTAACTTTATATACATTTACACTTTAGCCAAAGGCCCCATAGTAGTTCCTTTTTGGAATCCTATAAGGTAATCCCAAAAATGATCTACTATGGGGCCTATGGGTAGCGGTATCACATCACGAGCGCGAACTGCCAAGGAAGCTTCCTCCTTTGGCGAGACACGACACCTCAGCCTCGGACCTTCACCCAGCCCTGAACCCTAAACCCCAAAAAATCCCAAACCCAATGAAAGCCCACCCTAAACCCCAAACCCTACACCCTAAACCCTACACCCCAAACCCTAAACCCTAAACCCTAAAAGCCCTAAGCTCCAAGCGCAAAACCCGTATCTCAACCTGCAGCCGTTGGAGCCCGAAGTCCTAAGCTCTCTGAGCTTCGCAAGCGCTGCCTCCTTTCCCAGCACTTTTTTTGGGTTTAGGGTTTAGGGCGGCTGTTAGCCCAGAGCTCTTTCGTTGCATTGGGTCTAGGAGCAGGGGAGTCTGTTTTTCGTAAGGAGTTCATGACGCAACAGGACTGATGGATAAGTGATAAACCTGGAGGAGCTGGACCTCAGCAACAACTGCATTGGTATGGTAGGCGCTGCTGGCAGGGTGCAAGGGCTCGGTGTAGTTCATTTGATAACAGGCTTCCGTACTATCGAAGTTTGAGTGTGTGCGGGTTCCATTCCGTGTCGACTGTGCTCTTTCGATAACATGCTGCTGCCCCCGATGTCGGAAGTTGTGCAGACGTACTCACGTAAAGTTACCAGAACGATGCCACTGTCGCTTGTCAGATCTCCCGCAAAGCATGAATCGAAGCAACATGCGCGGGCTTTCCTCCCGTGCGGTCTCAGGTGTCAGCAAACTGTGCAAAGCCTTGGAGGGCAACACCTCCCTCTGGTCCCTGCCATTGGAGGGTAACGAGGCGGGAAGATCTCGTGTTGCTTCCTAAGACCCTGAGGCTCTCTGAGGCGCCCGTGATTCCTAAAACCTCAACCCAAAGAAGTTCTTCCGTCAGCAGGTGGGTTTGCCTTGGTTTTCACATTTTGACTGGACAGGGAGCAGAAGTGTCCTCGGAGGGACGTCGAGGGTAGGTTGCGTAGATTGATTTTCATTCGGGTTGTTCAGCTCGAGATATGGTCAGTCCGACCAGGGCGAATTGGCAAGTGACAAGTGTTGCCGTAGCACGGATAAATATCTCAACAGCGTAGTACAAATTGTCACAGAAATTCACGTAGTGCCTCTTCGACGAGAGCCGTCTGCCATACTTACGAGAGGAGCACGACGATCCAAACCCAAAGCCCTAAAGTCCAAAGTAAGAACTGTGAGGCTCCGATGTTGCCCTGCACAGTCCCTAGAAAGCCCACCGCCCACCTGCAAAAGAAACCCTAAACCCTAAACCCTCCTAAACCCAACGAAGCAGCCAAGAAAGAGCCGAAGCCTGAGGATGTGCACCTCCCTTCGTTGCCTGAGTCAGTCCTGTTCAGTTTCTGGCTCAAAATTATTCTTATTATTGGTATTATTAATATTATTATTAATATTATTATTATTATTATATGTTTTTTGGGCATGGGGCCTGTACTAACCTCATATTTCACAAGGCCTCGACAATCGCTTTTCAAGGTTTGCAAACATAGAACAGCTTTTTGAGTTGTTATTTTATGCGCACTGCGGGAAATTGATCCCTCAGTTTCTTGTTTGCAACACGACGGAGTGCAGTCGCTGTAGTATAGGGGCTTAAATAACTACCTATACTATTTGGGGGTTCCTCATTATATTTCTAGTATACCACACCCCAAAACCCTGTTCTAATTATTAAGGCGCCGATATTAGTTTGTTGCATCCCTAAACCCTAAACCCTAAACCCTGCTTTCTACCTGCGAGAGTTAGGACGTCCCGGAGAAGGGAACTTGGAGGTTCATGGGTAGTTATAAGTAGGGTTATAAGTCCCCTAATATGGGTTATAACTATACCCTAAACCCTAAACCCTAAACCCTAAACCCATATATAGTTGCCCTACTTATAACCCCACTTACGTATAACTACCCATGAACCTCCAAGAAGCCCATCCCAAGCTTCTGAGTTCGAGGCCGAAAGGCCCAAAGCCCTAAATCCTGAACGCTGGCACACAAAAAAATGCCCTTACAAAGCCTACAAAGCCCCAAAAAAGCAAAACATTGATGCCC